ATATTTGTTATCAATTTCCCATTTCCGCTGGAGAAAATCTGGAATTCTTGAAACGGCGATTTTTTTCCGGAACAAAATTTCTATAATATATTTTTCTAGAAAAATATATGTTTTTAAAATGCTATTTAAAAAATGATATTCCCCATGAAATTTCTGAATATTATATTCACCATTTAAACAAAATTCCTGAAACCGAAAAATAAATTTTAACAATTTCAGGCCATATGGTGCTTTCTCTATATCCTCATTGCTTTCATGGCAGTCGTCGGAAATTTGCTAGTCCTTTACATTACATGTTTTCGTTTAAAGTAAGTTTTTTTTTTCAAGAAAACCTAAAAATCATCAAATCTTCGTTATTTTCAAACCCGGAAACAAACTGGGACACAGAAATTACTGACTAGTGACACAGTTTCTCACGGTAGTTAGCCGTATTCTGTTTCAAGTAAGTAAAAAGGAATGCTTCGGGGATGAATCATCAAAACAGAATAATTTATCTGGAGGTTTTTGAAGAGTTTCGGGTAGTTAAGTGGGGCTTTTGGTAGTGGGCGATTTACGTGCAAAAAGGAAACTATCAAGCTAATTAGTGACTTTCAGGTTCTAAATTTTTAGAGCTAAAATACAAATGAACGCCAAGCAGAACATCCAGTTATCACAGATAAAATTTAATGCGATGTTTTGAAACAATGCAATTCTAATATTTAAAAATCTATGGAACTAGAATTTCACCTGAAGACCGTTTACCGGACCGACCGAGCCGGTCGTGTCTGCGTGTATCAAGGGAGGTCTTTACTGTGGACAGTGAAAACATTATTGATAAGGTACAAATATGAAACTGTCAGTAAAGATTTCAATCGACATTCGAAAATTAAAACCTCGGTGAAACAGCAAAAAAAATGTCGGAAAAATTTGTTTCACCACAAAAATAAAAACCTTAAATTAATAAAATTTCTGAATGTTTCAGAGTCCGATCCATCACCACGTTGTTCATTTTAAACCTCGGATTCGCTGATCTTTTCGTCGGAATCTTCGCGATCCCATTCAAATTCCAGGCGGCCCTTTTTCAAGTGAGTCTTCCTCTTCTTCTTTTTTTACTTCACAATCTCTCTGGAGTTTCAACTTATGAAATATGATTCGTGTGTGTTCCGGTTTCGAAAAGATGCTTTTATGAATTATGACTTTTAAAAGCAAATGGAGGAAAACAAGATATAGAAAAAGGGACTACATTTTGCAACATGGTACATTGAGAAGTAGAAATTTCAGACTTGAGGGAAAAACTAAAAACATTCGAAGTGAATAATCTTTCTTTTTTAAGGGTGTGAACAGCTGGTTGAAAAGAAAACAACTTTTTTAAACACAAGCTTGTTTTTGATGTTCATATTTTAAAAAAATGAGAGAGAGAGAGGAGGGATAAGTGTGAAGTATAAATAAAGTCAACGATCCATCTTTTTGGTAAAAGAGAAGAGAAAAGTGGAGCGAAAACTTGGAAATTTAAGAGGGAGCTGCAATTGTGCTAAAATTTGAGAAACCATTTCATTTATATCATAAATAATCTATTAAACCAACCACGATTCAGATATTATGGTTTCAGTGAACACTACAGATAAGTGTAGTCTGTGAAACTGAAATTTTCGGAATCGAATACTCGAATCAAATTTTTTCTATGCGGGTGTTCAAAATCGCGCTTGAAATGTCACGAACAAGCCATGCATTACTTCCAACTACCTCTTTGGAAAAACTCAAAAAAAAAATTTCGTAATCCCAAAATGTCTCAACTCAAGAACCCAAACTAAATTTATTACCAAAGAGAGAAATGTGACATTGAAAAAAGGAGAAGGAACATTTTTCCCGTCCAGGATTACTGAACACCCAAAATGTTACTTTCTCCGGCTTTAAAGTGCTTTTCGCGGCGCCTTTTTGGAGTTCTTAATGATTTTTTAACTTTTTAGAAAAAGTGAGTTGACATGAACAATGTTCAATGAAGCTGAGAAAAGAATATCGCAAAGCTTTGACACTGAAAAAATTTTTTAAATGTAAAACCAATTGTCTGCAGTCAGAGCTGCACAGAAGCTGTTCCTTGAAGCCTGAGTATGCATTTTTGAGTAACGATGTATAGTACCGGTGTTTACACTTTTCATGTGACTATCGTACCCTTTCATATACTCCACCAACTAGCTGCCGACGCTTGAGACTGCGTAGCTCAGCCGATAGCTGCACGGCACCTATACATTTTTCCAGCGAATTCAAAACCTTTTATGAATAGAATTTCAAGTGATTTGTTGTAATACCGATGCGCACATAACATCTCAAATGTCGCTTACCGGTTCTAACAAGGGAACCATGTTTAGCCTTCATCTCAGAATTTTTTCTAAATTTGCTCATTTATAGTTTCAAATACGGGCTTTCTTTTGATGTATTTGGTTTTCTGCAAAAATTTCTAGAAGTCGAGTTATGGGTTGTTTAAGTGATTTCAGTACTAATTTCTCACTTTTGGAGTGAGTTTTTGAAAGGGTTAATGGGAGTTTTTTGGCATTGTTTGAGTGTCAATCGCAATTTTAAAAGTTTCTCTAAAATCTGACAAAGTTTCCTCATTTTTCAAAAAAAAAATTTTTTTGAAAAAATTTTTGCCATGCTAAAATGAATTCTAAACGCATAAAAATGATAAAATGAGTCTTTCCACAAGATTCTGTAACCTATATCCGTTTTGAAATCCGAAATAAGTGATTTCTTCCAAAACTCCAATGAATCGTAGTCCTTCGAAAATCACCCAATATCACTCAAATATTGTGAGAACATAGATTTACATACTTCTTGACTGATTTATAACAGTTCCGCAACCAATATGATCAAATAGGGGGATTTCGACTGACATTTTGAGTAGATAAGGCTTTTCAGCAGTGCTCCAAGAATTTTTCAGAAATTATCTTTTTCGAACTTTTTTCCTACTGAAATAATAGAGCAAACATAGTTTTGATTTTCGAAAAGTTCAAAGCATTCCTCCAACATCAAAGAAAAAAAAAAGAAAAAAGAAAATGGACAATGAGGGAATCGAACCCCAAACTTGTGATTACTATTCATCCCCACCATCCACTCGGCCACTGTTGCTTGTTTCTTCCACAGTGGAGAATGTATAGAGGAAAGCATACTTGAAAAATTCCGGGGGCCGGCCGGGNCTGATGAAAGTTTCAAGGCCCGGTCCCGGCCCGGAAGGCCCGGTGTCAAAAATTCTGTATTTTTGAGCCAAATGTTGAGCTCTCAATATAATTTTTTTCCATTTTTTTTCGTATTTCGGTTTGTTTGTCTGTCTGATCAAAAAAGATCGAAAAAACTCGAAAAAAATTTTTTTGGTCGAAAAAAATCACATAAGGGTCCCCCCTTATGTGTTTTTTGAAAGTTTCGAAACTAGTGAAATGACGGGCCGGGCCTCCAAAATTCCGGAAAAAGCCCGGCCCGGCCCGTTACAAGTATGGAGGAAAGGGAGGAAAGTGGAAGGGAAGGAGGAGGCCAAAAAAACAGCATATTTTCAGATGGACTTTTCTCGACTTCTAGAAATTTTTGCAGAAAACCGAATACACCACAAGAAAGCCCGTATTTGAAACTATAAATGAGCAGATTTAGAAAAAATTCTGAGATGAAGGCTAAACATGGTTCCCTTGTAAGAACTTTTTAAAACAGCAAAGTTTTAAACCACATAACTTCATACACTAGATTGTTTCATACTTCTAAACCCAGTTAAAAATCTGACAGCAATTTGCAGGAATGGTTCCTTCCGAAACCCCTATGCCGGATCGTTCCATACGCGGAAACCGTTGCTCTCACTGTCTCCGTCTTCACTCTCGTCGTCTCTGCAGTTCATGAGTTCCGAACCGTTTTCTTCTCGAAATGCTCTCAAATGAGCCCGAAATCCGCGAAAATCTGCATTTTGCTCATTTGGGTGCTGTCGGTGGTCGTGTCGCTTCCACACGGATTGTTCCACAAAACCTACGAGATGACTGATGAAAATGGTGTGAAGATTGTGCAGGTTAGTGGCAGACATGAACGGAATTCCTTATTCCTTATTCCTTATTCCTTATTCCGGGTGTTTTTTCTATTCCTTATTCCTTATTCCTTCTTCCGGGTTTTTCAATTTTTATTCCTTATTCCTTATTCCTGATTTTTTCTTATTCTTCCGGATAATTCGAACAATTAAAAATTTGAAATTTAAAATTAGAACAAACGCTTTCTAAACCTAAACTACCACTTAAAAAGTCGTTTAATGAAGCCTAAATTCCTCCTTTATATGTTTTATCAAAAAATTTCAAAAAACATTCGGCTTTTTTCGAAATTTTGTTCCGTATTCCTTATTCCTTCTTCCTTATTCCGGGTGTTTTTCCTATTTCTTATTCCTTATTCCTTCTTCCGGGTTTCTCAATTTTTATTTCTTATTCCTGATTTTTAATTTTTGTTCCTTATTCCTTATTCCTTCTTCCGGATTTTTAAAAATTTTATTCCGCTCATGTCTGGTTAGTCAATGAAGAATCAGATATTATCAATGAAGAATCAGATATTCTAGGACTATTCTAAAATTGACATAATGTTGAAACAGTAAATTTTGAATTCAAATTAACAGCACAACTTGGTGAACTACTGACGGATTTCAGAAACATTCTTTATAAACATTTTGAAACTGTAAAACAGTTAATTTTCTAAGCATGTGATCTCCGTGGGTATTTTTAAAGACAAAGTAGTTTCAAATATTTTCTGAGAGTATGCATTGCTGTAGTTACCTTCCCCATGGAAAAAAACTTTTTCTGCTTCAGAATCAAATTTAGTAAGCCGCACAAAATTTCATCAGTCAATATTGCTCGGAAAACGCATCCTTATTCTCAAACTTTGAGCTCAATTATCTTAATTTCTGCAAAAGATATAAAAAATATGCAAACTGTAAAAATGTTGGTGATACTATGATAAACATTTTATCAGTTGACTGATTTTTAATATCTCTTAAAGGCACCGAGATAATTGAGCTCAAACTGGAGTTGTAGGGTCTGTTCTGTTGAACTTTTATGCTTGCGACCGCGGAGCTCAGCCGGTAGTAGTGAGCTGAATACAGCTTACAAGTTCAACTACCCATAGAAATCCTTACCTAAAAATATTATCTGTTTCTGTTAACTGTTTTATAAGAAGATGTGAGTATTCCCATTGCTAGATTACCTTTATTATGCTCTATCCAGTGTCTCCCAATCTACGCCGACGAGAATTGGTGGAAAATGTACAACATCTATTTGGTCGTCATTCAATATTTCATCCCAATGCTCATCCTGGACACCGCCTACGCAATGATTGCGTTGAAAATCTGGAGCATGAGCAAATCTAGAGTCGAAATGGATGAAACGAAACTGAACAATCAAAAAGTGAGTCTATTTTTTAGTGTTTTATGTAGCATGGGATTTATTCTCAATACTTTCATGTGTGATCTTTTCAAAAAATCTATACCGGATTCAGAACTCTATTCTATGTTGGTGTCTCTCTATCTCTCACAATATTTCTTTCTCTCACCGTTTGTGTTTTCTTTCGTGTGTCTTTCTTTATCATAACCAACTAATCCCCTTATCGAATCCCAAATGTAGATATCAGTGGTTTCAATGGGTCTACAAAATCATCAATTATCGCAGCTCATGCGTACACTCATCATTGTCGTCGCTTGTTTCACATTCTGCTGGTTCCCACTGGAGACGTATCTTTTGCTGAATGAGCTGAGACCGGAGATCAATGGATGGAAGTATATCAATTTGGTGTTCTTCTTCTCGCATTGGTTGGCAATGAGCAATTCATGTCTCAATCCGATTATCTATGGACTTTATAATGTGAGTGAGGGATTTTATAAGTCGGTTCCTAGTGGAGGTACTGTACCTGCCGAAAGATTTTTAAACCTATTATAACTTTAGAACTGGCAAGTTTCGAATATCTGAAAAAAAAAGATATTTTGTTGGATGAGACTGAACGTTTTCAGACTTGCTGATTAAAAAAGGAACTCCAATTTGGAAATTGAAAGTTTTTTTTTTATATAAATGAATTCAAAAAAAACATAACTGCAAAATCTCGGGCCGGCCCGGGGTACTTACATACGTTGATTTTTTTGAATTTTTTTTCGAAAATTTTGAAATTTTTTCAAAAATTTAAACAAAAACGACCGATTTTTTGACTACTTTCTACTTTGTGATTTTGGTTATTAATGGACCCTTTTTTCTTTTTAATTCGAAAAAAATTACCCAAATTTTCATTGGAAATTTTTCAACTGTGGTAGGCGGGCCGGCCCGGGGTCGGGCCGGGCCGGGCCGAGAAAATTCGTCTACCGGCCCGGCCCGGCCTTTTGCAACTATGAAAAAAATATGCCGGTCAAAAGTGTCATGACTCAGAATTCAGTAATTCTTCAGGTAGTTTTGGTACTAGGGTTCTTAGCGGTGCATCTCATTAGGACGAATTTATAAAAAATAGAGCTTCAATTACAAAATTAAAGCTCTGTTCTTGTTTAGCAGTACTGAAACGTTTCAGGCTCATCCATCAAAATCTTCTTCTTTTAGGCATTCAAAGTAAGATATTTAATGAAAAACTGATGAAAAATCAATACGATGTTTACCAAGAACTGGTAATAACTTTTTCAAATTATCAAATATCAGAAACAGAAACAAAAACTTAAAAATATATGGTTTTTTTCAGACCAAGTATAACGAGGAGTATCGTCGAGTGTTCGGTCAAGTCGGATGTTTCTGCTGTACACGTCGCAAAAGTTTGACGGATTCCGTATGTTTTATTTGTTTAGCTGAATATTAGATAGAGCTATTGACACATGGGTAGATTCATTTAGGAAAATTTTGTGATAGTTTTTAGCACCAATTTCAAATTACTGCATCACGAATGTTGATTCCAAAAGTTGCAGTTTCAGTTTGTTAGTATAACACGAGACAATGAAAGTTTTCACTGGAATCGGTTAAGATGTGGTGTGTGATAAATTTTTTTGCATTTTTCACAAATTTCGAAACTGTTAGTCTCCAAGATCATTCTTAGTTTCCATTGGCCATCGTTACGATTTTCAGTAACATCCACTGATGTATCAGAACTTTAGGAACTTTAGGTTCCATCAAACTTTTGGGGGTTCCCAGGTCGGTCCGGTCGGTCTGGCCCTGCTAACACAGGTCTCATTTAAACTCCCAAAAAGTTTGCAGATTAGTTTGGGTAGCTTGTCATACGATTTGTCTCGTTTTCTAGATGAAACCGGAGCGCCGATGGAACTCATCGAACGATGCCCAAGACCAACACGAAATCGACCAGATCGTCGACATACCTTCCATGATTTCAGCTACTAATAATGGCGTTCCGCCCGTTTAACACGTGTTTTCAATTATTTGCCTTATAATGCTTCTGATTTCTTGTTTCTTTGTTTCTTTTCGCATCAAGTTTAATCACGACGCTTTTCTTCATTAATCTCTTCCGTTTCATGGAAATTTCACATAAATGTGTTCTTATTTTGTCATTTTTATTATTATACAGAAATAAAACACTGTTTCCTGAAAGTTTCAAGTTGCCAGTTTTTAGAAAACTGAAACATTCAGTCTACAGACATGAATAACGCCCCCTCTACAAATATCACATTCTCTCAGCGGCTTCAGATTGTTCTCCTTATTCACCTCCTCAACCGCTTTCATATGAATAGCATCATTGTGGTCATTGTTCTTTCAGATGCTGCTCTGACCATTCTGCGCCTCTTCCCTCTCGGATAATCTAGTCGCGGGGTAAGAGTCTACCCAATTTTTTTCTCGTCCTTTTACATATTTTTTACTTTGGAAATTCATAGTTTTGAATGACTATTATTCAGAGAATGAGGGCTATAGGAGCCCTGGTGCTTCTTTTGGGCATTTTCAGAGCGTCTGGAGAACGGCCGAAAATCACGGATAGCGAAGGAAACTTGGTTGTGAAGATCAGGTTGGTTTAAAAAAATCTCTGGAATGTAATCTTTTGTGCATTTCAAGAGAATCTTAAATCCGACTCCGAACTGCAAGTTCCAGTTATCTATATTTTTTTCAGCGACATCCCAAGCGGATTATGCGGGAACGATTCATACTCTGGATTGGCTTTCATGAATGTTGGACTTGAGGAGTGTGATCGATGGAAAATGAATACAACAGATCCAGAATATGAGGAGTACAAATGTAAAGTTTTGCGAGTTCATGCATCGGTGAAGAATGGAAAGTGCACTTGTTGTGAAAAGTGGAAGGGTGAGTTTTGGTAGAAATAAGAAAAAAAGGAAGAACCCAAATTCAATCGGCAATAGCTTACGAAAAATTGAAGCCGTTTTTACGATTTTTCAGGACCGCTTTGCAACGAATACGATGGATGTGGCACGGGAGAAACACTTTTCGGAACTTCGTAAGTATCATTTTCTTTTTTCTGCAAAAAAAAGACACAACGGGACAACAAAAAGACTGCAAATTCATAATCGGATTCCCCATTGTTTCTGTGTTTCTCGTCTCTTTTTCATACAATTCGAAATTGCGAACATCGCGGGAAAAAAGAGCGAAAAAAGTGGGGGGAAAATGACACAATTCATTTTGACAGCTGCAATTGACACAGGTGTTAGTATATGTGTCCACCTGAGAATGGAGAGAGAGAATTGGGGAACGGGAAATTATCTGGATAGATGGGCATACAACATACATGTGTAAGGATGAAGACGAAGAGGTGGTGATTGTGGCGAAAATGAGAAAAAAAGAGAAAAGAAACACCGGATTTTGCCGACTTTTCCCCCATCTATTTGCTTCGTGTATCTTATTTTATCCACCTGTGGATGATTTTTGCAAGAGGAGAGTAGATTTTGAGGGATGTTTAGGGGTCGGCAAAAATTACAGAAGGTGTAGGAATGAAAATAATGTTCAAATGTTAAAAAATTGGAATTAATGGTTATCTGAAACTGAAAATTGGAAAAATTTTGAAATTTTAATTCGAAGTTTTTCTAAAATTTGTATAATTTCTGAGAATTTTCAAAACGAAAGTTCCCTTCGAAAACCTGAAATTTATCTAATCCACACTAATATCAACATAAAAGGCTGAACGTTGGGGAAGAATTTGCTTGAAAAATTACCCTTATTAACCCATCATATTCAGAAATTCGCTTTCAAAAATTATAACCTTCTGAATCAGCGATTTTTGAACATAATTTTCACCGTTTCTCTGGTTCTCAAAATATAATATTTTTATTCCTAAAATTCTATTGTGCTTGCCTTCTTTTCAACATAAAATTCATCCGAAATAATTTTGAAATTTACTGTAGACCTCTAGGAGAACGAAACCCTTTTCTTTCACTTTGAGCTCAATTATATCGGACTTTATTAGAGGTATTGAAAGTCTGTTAACTGATAAAATGTTTGTCTTAATATCACCAATATTTTATCAATAGACAGAGTTTCGATATCTCTTTTAGGAACCGAGATAGTTGAGCTCAAAGGATTGACGTTCAATTGGGAAACTTAAAGCACTGTTAGATACCAAGTTTGATTATCCCAAATTTCAATTTTTCGAATAAAAAAACTTCAATTTATATGATTTCAGATGCACCCCACACATGTGCCATCACAACGGAACTATCGCTGTTGGAAAGAAGGAAATCGAGTGTATCTGTCCACCACCATGGGACGGAAGATTCTGTGAACGTTTGGCCTGCTGGCGAAAGACAATTCCAACTCAACAGCACAGATACCGTGCTTGTCGACCCTTTGGGATAACTTCCCCCACTGAAAAAAGACATTCTTTAAAAAACTACAAGTTCAATATACCAAAGAGTTGATCATCAACTTGGCGACCGCTTTCTTTATCGCATTTGTCTCAAAACGGTCTGGATCCAATGTAATGACTTCTTTTTCCTCGTATTCTTCAAGAAAAACCTTCCATTCCTCGTCAAAGCAAACATTCTTGAGCCAACGGAAACTGTACTGAAAATGAAAATACCAATAGAAAAAATGTTAGAAAATTCTCAGAAGCTCGTCTGACAACACTCCCCTTGTAAGTTTCGAGAACCTTCAAGAGGGTTTCAAAAATGAAAAATTTTAAACAACTCATTTTAACCCCATCTATCTATGAAAAGTTTATAAAAAAAGCTTTTGTGAATGAACTTACTTCATTTTAAAAATTTGAATAATCAGGAAAATCAAAAAAATCAAAGGGAAGTCTTCAGAATCCATTCAGTACAGGATTCTTGAAAACCACCGAAAAATGGTTAGAAGATATACAACATTTAAAAAAATAGGAATAAAGACTCCGCAAATCAGTTGGGTGTCATGGAAGGCAGAATGAAGATCAGTAGAAAAAATTCTCTCCAACTGTTTGAAAAAAATAGTGTGCTGCGGTGACGACGCAGACAACAGACAAGGTGATACATACAAGGAAGCCGTTTTGTGCACACCAAAAAGAACACTCGACAGCGCCAATTTGTTAAAGGTGGGGGGACAGGAGATTTTTCGTAGTTTTTTTGTAGCTAGAGTATGCATTCTACCGTCACGGTGTACAACGCTTAATGTCACTCTGCGTACAGCTGTCGTCCTCGCCTTTATGTATGCAATCGGGCGTCTGCTTTCTCTTTGCCCGCGTGGCTCAGTCGGTAGCGGCGCCGCACCCTCACTCCTCGCCTTCACAAGTTCAACTCCTCGAGGGGCATCTTTGAACGGAATTTCGAGAACATTATTTTTTTCATTTCTCCCCACCTTTAAAAGAGAAAATGTTTCCAACTCTGACAGATAAAATGTCAAATACAATCGATCTTCTTCAAAACGATGAAGAACATATTCTGATAAAAAATATTGAAATTAAATTTACTAAGCTTTCCATCTCGGGCAAATTTCCGAAACCGCCCGTCACCCGACAGGGTCCCGGCTAGTGTGCTGTGTCGATTGTTGACAATCGACAAAAATCGACGAAAATCGTTAAAATCGGTGTCGATTTCGTCGACTCGATCAAAATTCGACATTCAAAAAGTCGATGAAAGTGAAAATCGACAAAAGTCGATTTTTGTCGATTTTGAATCGACGAAAAATCGACGAAAAAATCGACTTTTGTCGACTTTATTGTCCGAGAGGACTACACGGCCGGTGACCTAGAAACTGCCTGTGGCCGGGGTATTTTTCATAAAAAACAGGCATTTTTCATCGAATTTTCCACTGTAAAACCGAATTTTTCTTTTTTTTTTCGGGTGTTTTGTTTTTTTTCTGTTTCATTTATGACATACTTGCTTGTTGGAGATGAAGGCGCTATACTAGTTGGAAGGGGTCACTTTTTTTTGCGATTTTTTCACTTTTTTCGA